CTTGTGCTCCATGTTGGGGATGCCTCAGGCAGGAGTCTCTCTGGCGCTGCGTGCGTGCCCTGGCTGAGGTCCAGGGTTTAAACCTTTCCTGCCTCAGGCACCATGTCCCTTGAGAGCTTTGGCCACGTGCTCCTTTGCCAGTGATATCTGTAGCCTCTCTCCAGGAGCTGAGATGAAGACGTCTCCTGCTGGAGCGATGCCATGAGCTGTTCCTGGGAGATGCTGGCAGTCTTGGCTCTTCCTGTTTCCCTGACTTGCTCAGGGCTGCTTGGCTGCTGTGATGGGCCAGGAGGGTCAACGGACACTGTACTTAGCTTGTCTGAGAACAGGTCAGCGATCCGGCACGAGTGCTGCACGAACCTGCACACAGAACTGTGGATGGATCCGCCTTTTGGAGGCACCAGGAAAGAGTTGTCCGCATGATGGTGCTGACTCGGTTATGTCTCATCCTGGCCAGAGGTGCCAACACAACCTGTTCCCATGCCCCACTTCCGAACAGTGTCCGAGAACGGGGAAGGAAGAGTCCTTGACTGATAGATAGAGACATAGAGAAGTGGACTTGCAGCAGTTAATCTGAAGCTGTGTGTGACAACCTCCTTGTCTTGGGAAGGGCAGACGTGCACTGCAAATGCTTCCATGTGGCAGGGAGCACTGAGGGGCCACCCCAGCGCCTGTTCCCTTTGCAGAACACCCAGTTTTTGCAGGACATGCTGTATTCCCCCAACTCCAGTCCAGCCTGTCCCAGCTTATGTGTGTGGTGGCTCTGGGCTCCACAGCTTGGGTATGATGAAATCTGTCCCCTGAGAAACCACACATGTGTCCATGGATGACTTCCTTGGCTGACGGCCGTGCCGGTGCGTCTGGGCCGCTGTCTGCCTGTGAATTTTATCAAAGCAGGACTGGCTGCCTCTCTCTTGTGCTGGAAGGTCACAGTCAGCAGCCAGGGAATTGAGGGATGCTATAAAGGGCAAGCAGCCCTGGTGAGGGGCTAAGAGCCAAGGACTTTTCATTGACAACTGGCAGTGTCCTGCTTGGCTGCGGGTGAACCGGAGATCTCCTGCCGGCTGCGGCAGCAGTGCTGCGAGCTGCATGCACGGCCTTGCCTGGGGGCAGAGGAGTAGCAGGAGTGTTGGCCGGCACTGCCCTGCAATGTGATGGTGACCGTCAGAGCGCGAGTGAGGGCACAGTGGAGCGTCATCTCTGGCACAGCAGCAGCGCTCCTGTAATTCTGGGGTGCAGCTCTGCATGCTTTTCCATGGCCTCTCCCTTAACAAATTAACTCGTGCATAGTCAGCTTAAGTTTGAGAATTCTCTTTAAAAAAAAGTTTAGATGTAACTTTAAGGAACCCAGAGGATGAGAAGGCCCTAGTGTTAAATTAAATAATCTTAATGAATGATGTGATGTTTTTTCTTTCAGCTTAGAGTTTCTGTACCTTGGAGGGAATTTCATCACTTCAATTCCACCTGAATTAGCAAACCTGCCTTCTCTAAGCTATCTTGTTTTGTGTGACAACAAGATCCAGAGCATTCCGCCTCAGCTGGCACAGTGAGTATTTACACTTTATTCTGCAGGTGTGCATAAAAGTAATTGAGAAGATCTGTTTGTCCTTCATTTATTTTAATCTAGTTAGACCAGAACAGGAATTTCCTTAGCATGGTGCACTGCAAACAGACCACAAATATATAATAGGAAAGCCACTGTTAAAGGATTGTGGGAAAAAAAAGTGTCACAGTGTCCACTTAAAGGTGACTTAATGGGTTTCTAGAGGAAATCCAGAGAAGCACCTGGGTGGCTCAGAGAAAATAAACTGCTATGCTGCTGTGTTCTTGGTGAGGAAAGCTTCTGTCTGCTTTGCCTTTCATCTAAAGCCTTCTCTGTGTGTGTGCGTGTGTGTGTATGTGTGTGTGTGCGTGTGTGTGTCTGCTGTACCAGCCCTTGTTTTCCCTTGGCATTTCTTGTTCAAGGATCTCGGAATGTTTTAGCATTCATTAAAATCCTCCAGCACAGCCCTAGATGTTGTTATTCCTTTATCTGTTACATAATGGAAGAAAGAGGACACTTAAATGCTGTTTGGGTTGCCTGAGGTGGGAGGTGAAGAATTCAGTGTAGACATAAGCTCCAAAGCAATTGGATGGCAGCGTAGAAATTTTCTGAGTTGGAATTTGATGGCGTAGCTGTGTCATTCTTGATGGATAAACTTTCCAGTTGTCTTGGAGCTTGCATTAGGTGGAGACCATAGCATCCTTGGACACTGGGCTAGAGGGTTGCTTTGCACTCCCTTAGCGGAGAAAGCCTCCTCCTACAGCCTATTAGAAGTTGCTCATCCCCTGTGCAGATGCTAACCTGGCCTGCCCTGGCTGAGTTTGTGAGATCTGATAGCATCACAGCACAAGGTGATGCAGCTGCAGGCAGTGAAAACGTGGGGTTTTCCAGAGCTGGCCGCCTACCATCATTCATCTTTAATGCATGAGTGAAAGCAGGTGACTTCATCAGATGCTGCATGGAGCCATTTTTGATGCATGCACTGCATACAAGGAAACATTATCTCCCTCTAAAAGTGCTGTTTGCATTCTGAGGAAAAAAAAAAGTCTGTGTGTATATATATATATATATATTTTTTTCTTTTTCCCCAGGGGGAGGAGGAGCAAGGGCATGGGCAACATATCAAATTTCAAACTGTATTTCTTTAGCAGGCGTTCAGGAATGGAGTCAGGTTTTATAGGGCATTGGGTGTGCTGTAGTAACAGCAGCTCCTTCAGCATGATCTTATGCTTCAAAAGGAGGAAAAACAGAGGGAGCAGCAGGTGGGAAGTGGGTGGGGAGTAATGCGGTCTGTGTGTAGTGCACTTGTGGAATGATTTTGCTTGCGCCTCTTGACCGGGTTTCCCCCTCCATGCTCAGGCTGCATTCCCTGCGTTCCCTCAGCCTGCACAACAACCTGCTGACTTACCTCCCTCGAGAGATCCTCAACCTGGTTCACCTGGAGGAGCTGAGCCTGCGGGGGAACCCACTTGTGGTGCGCTTCGTGCGCGACCTCACCTACAACCCCCCAAGCCTCCAGGAGCTGGCTGGACGCACCATCAAGACGCGCAATGTGCCCTATGCTCCCAGTGACCTCCCGGAGAACCTCGTCCGATACCTGAGCTTGGCCAGCAACTGCCCCAATCCCAAGTGTGGCGGTAAGCTCGCCTTTGCTCCCCGCTCTTGCCTCATACTTTTCTCTCCTTGTGGCCCTACTGACTGCAGTAGGTCAGCACAGCTATTTGTGCTGTTGCACCCAAATTCTGTAGAGCTCCATTGCATTGGCTCCAGCCCTCTGGCAACCTTATCTTTAAGAAGCTTTTTCAGTGCCATTCCTTAGTTTAGGAACACCCACTGAAATGAGCAGCGCTGGTTTGTTGTAGTTGCATGGGGTATAAGGCAGTGGTCAGAGTTCTCATGGCTTATCCCAGCTCGCCATAGTGTTGGTATGTCCTCAAGTTGCTCAGTGCTCTGCCCTGCAGTAACTCCAGCTTGTTGAAGGGCAGGAGAACTTTTGCAAATGTTTCTCCTTGGACTGCTGGACGGTAGGCTCAGTTTCTAATTGGAAAAGAGGAGGCTGTAGTGTTACCAGCTACCAAGAGCAATTAATTTAGCTCTTGCTTGGGACAGCTGATTTACAGCGCCCCTATGCAGAGGGGCGCTGTAAATAGGTTTTATAGATAAGCCCAGAACGCTTAGCTTAATTTGGTTTAATGCTTAATTTTCATCCAGCATAAATGATCTGTGCATTCTGTCCATAAAAGATTACCACCCCCGCCAAAAAAACAAAATACTGTTCCTTAATTGCTCTCTAATCTGTAGTCATAATTTAGTCCGTATCTTATCTCCTTCTAGGACAATATCAAAGCAGCTTTGTTAGCAAAGGTGGAAGAGCTGGAATTTCCACTGGAAGAGAAAGTTTTCAGCCTCTCTTTTTCGAGTTTTTTTTCCCAGTATGGATAACAGTGGATTGGTTCACCCTCAACTTCCCTTTTTTTCCTTCTGAACTATCACAGTGTTTCAGTGTTTCCCTAATCTTGCAGGCGAAAAGCTTGCTCAAAACCTGATAGGGCTTAAACACTGTTGGAAACTTCTGAAAATGCCTGCATCTAAAACCACTCCCTGTGCCAGGGGAGGACCATAGGTGTGTTTCAGAACAGCGCTGTTGCCATGGGAAGCATCACCCGAACTCAGGGTGGTGACTTTGCTCAGGCAGAACAGAAGTGAAGCCGTGAAGGAGAGAGTGTTTATTTGCAGACACATCATGGCTAGCCAGGGGAAGAGGTTATACAAACTTGAAAGCAGGGTGGATGAATTCATTCAACATTGAAGGAGAAGTCTGCAAATTTCCAGCCTCATATTTCTCCTTAATGTTTGGAAGAAATTGCCTCATTCTTTGGAATTGCTACCCTGTGTCTTTTGATGTAGAACTTGCCTTCTCTGAATCATCTGGCCATTAGACTTTTCTGGAAAATTTCTTTTACTCTCCCGAGAAAAGAAGTTTCACACCTCTGGTTTCCATCTGTGTCTTGCTACCTTCTTTTTTCCCTTTCATCCCTTCTGCTTCCACATCCAGTGTCAGTTAAACGCTAGTCTGAGGCACGTGCACGAGGCACCGCGGCCTTGCAGAGCTTACAGATTGCTCGGCTCGCTGCCTCATGTTTTGCTCCTGTGACCTCTTCCCTTACAGGTGTCTACTTTGACAGCTGTGTCAGACAAATCAAGTTCGTTGACTTCTGTGGGAAGTACCGTCTCCCGCTGATGCACTACCTGTGCTCCCCAGAGTGCTCCTCTCCCTGCAGCTCTGCCTCCCAGAGCTCCACTTCCCAGAGCGAGTCCGACTCCGAGGACGAAGCCAGCGTTGCCGCGCGCAGGATGCAGAAGGTCCTCCTGGGATAAAAGGCACCGAGAGGGAAAGACTGGAAGGAAAATATGAGAAAAGCAATCATGGAACTGCAAAGCATGAGCCTCTGGCCTGAGGGCTCACAAGAAACTGTCACAAGTCCCCGTAAGGGTGTGTAAGAACATCCTAGCGAGGCCAGACTTGCTTGTGCAAGGCTACTTAGGAGAACTAACTGGGTGCCATAGTGCCTGCAAGGTGCCTGGGGTCGTCAGGAACCTCTGCTGCCTGGGGGTCCCCTTCGTGCTTCCTGGGCAGGGGGATTTTTTTCCAATGGGCAGATTCTAAAGAGGGTTTAATATATGACACTTACCTGGACTTTAGTCATCCTGCAGAGCAAAGAAGGCTTTGTCCGGGGCTTATAACACTGGTAAATCAGAAAAAGGTTAATGATGCTATGTGGGTATATATGGATCCCAATGTTTTGTATTGCATTTTGATTCTTTTCTGACTCATTTTGGTTTCAGTTACAGATTTTTATACCCAAAAGTTTTTCTTGAAAATTTTTTTTGATCAGGAGTCCATTTTTCGCAAACTCTCTTTGTTGTCTACAGGCACGGGATCTTTGCGCTTTTGTAGCCTTCACAGCCCTACAACTGAGTTTCCTTTTTTTCTTCTTTATTATACCAAGGTGCTCTTGGATTAAGTCAAGAGGAAACACTTTTTTTTCTTTTTCATCTCCTCATCCCTTTTCCCATTACACTTCGAGAGCTGCTGTCTTTACATGACCTCAAGACAGCAGACACGTCGTTCTCTTGAGGCTTGGGGTGGGTTTGGGTCTGTGGCCATGTGTGCCTATGCTAGGGACCAAATGCCATGTTCCGTATCGTGCCTTCCACCTCGCAGCTTGCTGGAGCAGATCTGCTCTCGACTGTGACTTGCAGGAAGGGTCTCAGGATGGACCTTGCCAGTGTTTAAATGACGTCCACTGCTGTGGCCAGCCCTGCAATGCTCAGTACAGTTGTTATTTTCTATCATCAAGTTACTGCCTGCTTTAAGCAGATGAACTTAGTGAGTTAAAAGGATAGGGAGAAGCACTATGCAGAATGTTGCTTTCCTTTCGTTTTGCTAACATGAGAAGAAAAGCCTGTGGGAGGAAAACAAGGCACGTTTTCTGGGTGTCTTTCCCATAGGTTTGTTTTGAGACCTCTTTATAGGTTTGCATTTGCTTCTGTTCTAAAAGCTTAGGCAGTCTGTTCAGGTAACACATTCAGCTGTCTGAAACTGTGTTTAAAGGAAAGCTGCAGAAAATAGCTCAATTTTAGGTATTAAGAAATATCTTTAAAAATATGAAATTGATGGATATTTGTAAATCTGCTTGTGGGGCTGGTGTTATGTTTTGCTCAATTAGGGCTGCCTCTTTGTCGATTTTCACAGCAGACAGGCCTTTTGATGCAGTTAGAGATGCTGCAAATCCAACTGTGCACTCAATTGCATGAGCACAGTAAATACTGACAGTGGTAGGAAGCTAAATAAACTAGTATTTTTTTTAACCCACTTTGGAAGGGAAAGTGCTCCTCTCCCACATGCAGAAAACACACACAGCCGTTGGAATATCTTACGGAGCTTGGTATTAATGGTTCTTTTTAATTATCCTTGACACTTTATTAAAGCACTTTGATAATTTTACTCTTTATAGCCAGCATTAGTGATTTTTTTTTAATTACATTTTCTTTTAATGTGACCTGAAGAATAAGGTCTGTGAAATTACGTAAGTGCTTGTCTGTCTTGGTGGGCAGGTTGAACTTCTTGCTGGGAAGCTCCTTGGCAGTGTGAGCTCAGTTCCCCAGGTTCCTTTGTAGAGAACACTTTGCAAGAAAGAATTGATTTGCAAAATAGCACCCCTTTGGTTATTAAGCATTTCAGCATAGCTAAAGATTATCCCTGTGCCTACACAAATGCCTAAAGGAAATGAACTGCCCATTCTCAGTGCCTTTTTTTTTTTTTAATATACATATTTAAGGCACGGTAAGGTAAATGTCCAAACTGGATGTCTCTTTAGCAGATTCTGTGAGGTTTCTTTGGGAACAAGAATCAAAAAAAAATTGAGAGGAACCAACTGCGTGGTATTAGTTGGATTGGGATCAGTGCTTTGGTCTGGTCCTCCTGTCCCGAGTGAGTGTGGTCACACCAATGCAGGATGGCGATAAGCTGATTGCAGAGCCACAATACCAGATTTACTGCTAGGATAACTGCAGTGAGCAGCTGAGTGATCTACAGCTTGGCTCTTCTGCTAGTGAATGAGCCACACAGGTTGAGATGAAGATCTTCAGAGCTCAGGGCCATGAGGTACTGTCTGTCTTCTCTTGAACATCAGCTTTTCTTTAATGACACACTTTTCAGAAGGTTAGCGTTTACAACCATTTTTTTTCTGCCACAAATCCTGTTTGCACAGTAACACTTCTGGGTGATGGCTTAAGACCAGTGGCTCCATGCTGGTGACTGGTTCTAATTTAGCTCCTCTCTTCACTGTATTTTCTTTCCCAGCCAAACTAGTGTCCAGTTTCTAGCCCAGTTCTACTTGATTAATAGTGATCTCTCTTCATTGCTCTTTCTCTGTAGCCAGGTCAAAACTTAGCAGCTCATACAGTGGATATGTCTATGCAGTTCTTTGAAATCTTCTTAGACTTTATCATAAAGTATCTTGTATCTTAAAAATTTATATGTATTCCTGAATGCAGCTAATGATCTTTTTCTTTTTGCCTATGGGGTTTAAAGTGCAATTCAAGTAAGTCAGTATTTAAAATTACCAAGGACTTATAAGAAATACAAGTGGTGGGGTTTTTTGTTTCTCTTTTCCTTTCCCTCAAAGTTAGACTTGAGAGTGCTGCAGTGCAGGGCTGAACACACCGAGTCCTCCAGAGTCTTGTTTTTCAGGCCTTGTTAGCCCCCAAGCAGGCAAAACGTGAAAATACAAGGAGGGCAGAAACTAGTCTCTGTTGTCCTCTTCCTACTGCTGCAGAGTCCCTGAAAGGGCGGCTTGGCAAGACTTGTAGCTCTTTTGGCAGGTTTAAATAGGGGGTTTCAGTCCCTGCAGATGCATCTCCACCAGTGAAGCCTTCGGTTGGTGTTTTGGTGTGGCTCCCCTTGTTGCTAGAACAGCACCACGTGTCCGGCTTGGGAAGCCACTCTCTTGGGAATGGCGGCGCCAGCACGTGAGGCGAAGCTACTGCTGCCACCTTGGCCACGCGCCGAGGGCGCCGCCTGCGCTGTCCTGTCCCCACGCCTCTTTGCCAGCCCCTCATGGGTATTTCTGAACGTAGGGACTTAACGTGAACAGTGGGATCATATTATAAAAGAAGCAAAATATCAATTTGACTGGGAGCAATTTGTATAGTTGCCAATTCTTCCATGTTTCTTTAGTAAGAGGTGAGACTTGATGAAGTCAGTAATGAATATTTAAACATACTCTGAAGTGGCCAGATGCAGTTTTTCAGGGGCTTCTGTCCTGGTCACTTGAAGTCTTTGAAATCTGGTATTGAATTATAATGGGAGTAGTGGGGAGGGAAGGGAGAGCCAGCTCCTTTTTGTTACTTACTCTTTTTGGCAATAATGAATGGGAGGAATTTAATCCAATGAAAGTAATGAAACTTAATCCTTGCAATGTGTCTTTGTTACCCGGTTCAAAGAACTATTTTAATGCCTTTTATTCACACCAGGCAGATGAATTCCCTCTCTCTTTCCCCTTCCCCCTTTTTTGGAGTCTCAAGATGCTTCAGATGGGCCACTTGAGGGTGCACACTAATACGGTGGTAACTCTATCTTGGAAGTCTCTCTATTGATTATTTTCCTGCCTGACCAGAGGATTGATCTTTTACTGACCTGAATGTTAAGGGTAGAAAGGGTTCTCATCTAACCCTCTTGTGAATTTTTATCAGGAGCATTTTGTTTATGAAGTCGTAAAGTGCCTTACATTTTTAAAAGTATATTTTGCTAGAAATGTATGAATATAGAGTATCTCTAACAGTATTTCTTTTAATGAGCTGTAAAACAAATTGTAACACTAAACCAAAACTGTTATTTCTACAATTGTCTGTCTTTTATTTGACAACATCTCTGTTCTGGTATTGCTGCAGGCAGCAGTATTGTGAGCATTAGAAATGGGGTAATACATGGTTGGGGGACAGATTAGACCTGACCCATGCTTTGGAAAGTCAGGTGAGTCTCCTGAAGCAGCTACTGAAGCTCTTGGCTTATGGGGCCCATTTATAACAGAGCAGAAAATGTGACAGGGACCTGTTTTGCTTCTGGAACTCTGTTGCATGAATTTGCTCCACAATTTAAATGTGCAAGTAATTAATGGGTAAGATAAAAGCAAGAAAAGTGAAGGCAGCGTTACTTTCTAGAGATTTCTGGCAAAATGAAGCAACTGTCCTGAAGTTATTGAATCGTTTCACTCATCTTAAGGGGCTAACTTTGAAATCTGTAAGTAACTTTTAAAATGTTAATATTCTGATTGCCTTAACTGTCTAATGTGTTGTAATCACATGTTTCCTCCTACATCTCGGAGTTTCTGTGATTTTATTGCCAAAATGTTTCCATTCCTGCACTGCAATTACCAGTTGTCAGTGCACAAGTGGCATGTTAGAAAATAGGGTAGTGTAAAACAAGAATTACTTGGTATCAACTTCACCAGGAACTTCTTCACAGAGGTGGTTTAACAACATATGTAATAATAAACCTCCCATATTGTTCAGCAGCTCAGTTTCAAATAGCATAATATTTTGTAGAATCCAGTGACCTTGACTGTAAAACCAGGCTAGGAATATTCTTGCCTCTTTTGTGTATAATAGAAGGTGTTCCTTTGGGGAATCTTCTTAATACTTTTCCTGTATGAGGAAGTATGGAACCAAAGGTCTCCTCGCCCTTTAAGCAGCACTGTTTCCAGCACCATCTAGGTCATGGTGGGTTTCTCTAGCTTTGTCTTGGAAACCTCCAAGGATGGAGGGTCCACAGTCTTTCTGGGCACCTGCTCTGGTGCTGAATTCTTTCTAGTGCAGAAATCTTTCCAAATGCTCAATATCCTCCTGTCACCACTCGCTCATCTCCTGATTTAAAGGAATGGACCTCAGCTCTCAAACTCTTACCTGTTTTCTTTCCTGTTGCTAATACAATGAGAAGAATGGTGCCACAGAAACCTGAGTTACGCAGATGCCTGAAGCAGATGTTGAGTATGCCAAATTAACATTTTTAGGCTCACACATGATTGTGCAGATCTTAAAAGA